GGAATACCTGTGCATCTCTGCTCTCCATCTCACTCGGCAACTCCAACCGCCACAGACCTCACATTCAAGGACCCCCACAGCCGGTCCTTGCCCTCCAGGGAGAACCCTGGACTCCCTGATGTCCTCTGTCTTCTCTTCTCCCCTCCCCACCACAGATACCCCCCTCACCCCCCACCCCAAGGCTTCACCTGTCTTTAGGCACAGCCTGTGGTGCCCAGAGTCCCGGGTTCTGCTGGCGGTAGGGACCGGACAAGGGTAGGAGCCATGTCCCCGCCAGCAGGTGGTGCCGAGGGATGGGGGACAATGGCAGAGGCCTTCACAGGTCTGATCTTAGCGCAGAAGACATAAGCCTCCCACCCGCCCAGAGTAAGCCAACCCTTCCCTGAATGTCACTGCCCTGAGAGAGCGTGGGCCCCGTCTCTGCCCAGGACGCATACCAGCATGACCTCTGCCAGCCTAGCCCGGAATTTTCCTGGCTGTGGGAAGAGGGTGCGGCACATGCCCTCCCACAGATGAGGCTGTGGAAGGAGAGGGAGGCAGGGCTGGAGCAGGCCCAGGAAGACCAACTGGGTTTCTCAGGAGTTGTCACAGCAGAGAGAGCCACACAAACCTCAACGCCCAGAGTGACTGCAGGACCTTCCAAGACTCAAGTGTGGTTTGGGGCCTGTCTGCCTCCGAGCCAATAGCAGGGCTGATCTAAGGCAGCTTCCTTGGCCAGGGGGGTGGGGGAGTCCCCCTCCTGATCATTAAAATCAGACCCTTGGGGCCATCGGTGGCTGGAATCTGCATTTGTAACCAACTGCTCAGGTGTTTGTGATGCGACACAGAGCAATGGGGGCTGCTGTCTGCACACAGGGGGCTGAGGGCTGAGTTAGCCCCCCACCCCAAGCCAGCTCTCATTCTTACGTTCCTCTCTCCTGTCTTCCATCCAGGCAGGCCTGAGAATGCAGGAGACATTGGATCAGCCAATCTCCATCTAGGCCTGTCACCTCAGAGGGGGGCCGAAGGCTCTTAAATGCTGTTGCCATAGCAACAGCATCCAGCAAGTGAGGACCACAGGCAGGGAGCCAGGGTACCTGGGGTGCAAGGATAGAAACTGACTTCGGAGGAGAGACTAGAGCTACTGTGAGGGATGAGGGGGGCTAAGGAGGGGGATGGGTGATCCAAGAATCCTTGAGAGGGAGGGGGACCCCAAAGCCATCTTGTGCATCTGCTTCTCCAAAAAGAACAACCTGTTCACTCACATCAGCCCCTGGGGAAAGGGGTCCAGAAATAAAATGTAATAATAATAACAAAAAAGAATGAATAATAACACTTACTCGCTAACATTTATCTGCATTGTCTCTGTGCCTAGCATGCTGCTAAGCCCTTTATTTTATTTTATTTTTTAATTCTTTATTGTTGAAAGTATTACATATGTCCCCTTTTTTCCTCCATTGGCCCCTCTGTCTCTGGACCCACTCTGTTCATCAGTTAATTTTGTTACTTAGATGCCACATATGAGTGAGACCATGTGACACTTGCCTTTCTCTGACTTATCTCACCGCTAAGCCCTTTAAAGGCTTTCCAGGGCTGTTGAAGTTTTCACAGCAATCCTAAGAAGCCAATGCTAACTTCACCCCATTTTAAGAAGGAGGAAACGGAGACTCAGGGAGATGTGGGGGGCCTTGCCCAGTGACACCCAGCGAGTGGCAGAGCTGAGACTTGATACAACTGATGCTTCTAACTCACCCGTGGACAAGCCCGGGCCGGTTGCTGGGTCTGCAGTGGCCACAGGCTTTGTCCCCTCAGCAGTCCTGCTGTGCCTGGCCACTGCCCTGTCCCCAGGGGCCTGGGCTGGGCTGGGCGTGGTCCTTTGGGCAGCACTCATATCCGGTCTCCTGTAGCACACATGGCAGTGTGGTCCAGTGGTCAGTCACACGGCTCTGGAGTTGGATGGACCGGGTTTCTGCCCAGGCTCCACCACTCGCAAGCTGTGAATCGTGGCCAAGGTATGCGACCTCTCTGAGCCTTGCTTTCCTCACTGGAAAACGAGAATAATCAGACCTCAGAGGCTTGCTGTAGGTATTAAATGAGTTAATATGCGGAAAGCCCTTAGAAAGGTGCCTGGGACATAGTAAGTGCTCATTAAATGGTATCTAGTATTATAATTAGGTATTGGCCCAGCCAGTTCCTGCTTCCATTACCGACAAATTAAGGAATAAATTTCTCCAGAGGCCACCAGTAAATTCCCAAAGAGCTTTTCACTCTTTGAATCGTATAGATTTCCTAATTAGTTTTCTGGATCCCCAGTTGTCTCCTGAAGTCCAAAGAGACCTGGTTTATTGACTTTGGCCCTAACCTGCCCATGGTGGGGGCCCGGGGGACCTCCCCCGATATTCCCCACCAGTGACAACAATGCTCTGCGTCAGGGAAGCCTCAGCCCCTGAGAGGCTGCTCTGAGCCTGGACGGGTAGCTCAGCTGGTCAGAGCATCGTCCCAATATGCCAAGGTTGCAGGTTCAATCCCTGGTCAGGACACAAACAAGAATCAACCAATGAATGCATCAATAAGTGGAACACAAATTGATGTCTCTCTCAAGTCAATAAATAAAAATTTGTAAAAAGAGTATGTGGGGGTAGAGTGTCCCTCTGTGGAATTTTTGAGAAAGTTTGCAGCCTGTTCTGGTGGGAGGAATATGGGCTGACAAGGAACACCGACTCTGCCAGTAACTATGAATATCCCACTGTGATAGGAGCCCCTTTTTAAGCTCTAGGGATGGGGCAAGGGGTGGTAGAAGGAGCACGGCCTGGGATTCAGGGCCTCACGTGCCATGTCTGCCCTGTTTCCGACTGCCTGTGTGACCCCAGGCTTGTTGCTTCCCCTCTCTGGGAAGTTTACCCTACCCGTCCAATGGGGACATTGAATAGATAAGGATAATTTTCCTCTTTGGACTCAAAGAGCCCTACCTTTGAATCCAGGCTCACCAGCCTGGTGACTCTGAGCAGATGGCTGCCCCTCAGTTTTCCCCATCTGTCCAATGGGTTGGTCAGGCCTGCTGGGCCAGGATAGTAAGAGCTCTGGATCCCTGAGCTCCACACCAGACCTTTTTCTTCTCCAGAGGGGTGGCTGTCTTGCGAAGGAGCAAAGCCTTAGATGTCCCCTGGGCAGTGGCATGGAGCACAAGTAGGACTGGGTCCAAATAGAAGTGTGGGCACTTTACAGTTTTCAGAGTACTTTTTCTTCCACCCATTTCCTTATCCAACATTTACTGCAACTTTGAAGTGCCCAAGAGTCATACCCTAGGAAGTCCCCATTTTACATTTGAAAAGGCTGGAGCCTGAAGAGGGGAGGAAGCTTGCCCAAGGCCACATGGCAAGGGAAGGGATGGAGAAGGGGAAGCCTCCGAAACTGGACCTGGTTCTGACTAATGCCAAATCCAGGAGCCTCCATCTTGTCAGCATCTTGAGGTAGGCACCCCACACCCTTGTACCCTCAAGTTGCCCACATCAGACCCAGACAGGACAGCTGGCCGGGGTCAGGGTACAGGCAGCCCTCATGGAACAGAGCTGTTCTGTTCTCTGGGGGCTGTGAACTGGCTACCAGCCCAGGACAAGCTCATCTGGCCTGAAACCCCACCCTCTCCCAGCTGAAAAATAGCTCTCTGAGGCCAGAGCCTGTGACCCACGCAGAGGAAGTGCTCCGGCTGGTGGCAGGGCTCCTATAGTTTCACTCCCTGCTGTCTAGGGTGTGATGGGTCCCCTGGAGGGACCACTGTACTTCCTTAGGCCTCACTTTCCCCATCTGTGAAATGGGGGTGGGGGGGGATGGGAGCAGACCAAGGATGATGGCAAATTGGTCATCTTGCATGTGGAACTCCTGATCTGCCTTCCTAGTCCTGCCTTCCTCTCTGTTCACTCACCATCCATTCAAGCGCCCAGGCTGGAAACCTGCAAGTTTTCCCTGAATTGCCCCAGAGCCTCTAAACCGGCCCCCAATCGCTCTCTAACCTTCCATTTCTCTCTCCGTCCACCTTCCCCACCCTCATCCCAGCCTCCATCCCCTCTCCCATGGGTGGCTATATCAGTATCCTCCATGGTCTTCCTGCAGCCACCTGGGCCCCGCTCATCTGTCCTCCACACAGGAATTGGAGGGACCTTTGCAAATAAATGTAAAATAATGTGACACCAAAGCACAAGCAACAAAAATAAAAATTGATCAGTTGGGCTTCATCATAATGAGAAACATTTGGCTATCAGAGGACATTATCAGGAAAGAGAAAAGGCAATGTACGGAATGGGAGAAAATATCTGCAAATCATATGGGTTTGACATCAAGGACATATGAGGAACTCTTACAATTCAACAACTAAAAGATAAACGTCCAATTAAAAGGTGTGTAAAGAACTTGAATAGACATTTCTTCAAAGAAGATATTCAAATGGCCAGCGAGCACATGAAAAGATGCTTACTGCCCTGACCCGTTTGGCTCAGCAAATAGAGCATCGGCCTGCGGACTCAAGGGTCCCAGGTTCGATTCTGGTCAAGGGCATGTACCTTGGTTGTGGACACATCCCCAGTAGGGAGTGTGCAGGAGGCAGCTGATTGATGTTTCTCTCTCAATGATGTTTCTAACTCTCTATCCCTCTCCCTTCCTCTCTGTAAAAAATCAATAAAATATATTTTTTTAAAAAAAGAAAAGATGCTTACTGCAATTAGTCATTAGGGAAATGCAAATTAAACCGCAGTGAGATGCTACCTCACACCCACTAGGATGGCTATAATCAAAACAGCGGAAAATAACAAATGTGGGTGATGATGTAGAGAAATTGGAACCCTTGTGCAATGTTGGTGGGAATGTGAAATGGTGTAACTGCTGTGACAGTGCCTCTAAAAGGTCAACAGAGAATGGCCCAGCAATTCTACTCCTGGGTACATACCCCAAAGAATTGAAA